CTCTTTAGGCTGAACATTTGAAGACAGAGAACCCGACTCAGAGCCAATGCAACAGTGGAGGGGACCTCGCCCAACTCATCAGGACCAATCAGAAGATCAGAACTACTAGATTCAACCTACATCATTTATTGTATAAAATGTCTGCACACAATGTTTTCGGGGCTCTCTTCAGATAGCTCCCTAAGAGTTTGACGAACGAGTCCGTGCACGCGATTCCAGATATCTTTACCTCTGAATAAACTGCCTTTATTATACCATATCCACCCTGTCCAAAGTCTCTACTTGGTCTCAGTTCTCCAGTAAACTTGTGATTATCAACAGTACACAACGGTAACAAACAATTGGGGGAACTCACGGGGCAGATAGTAAGGTCGCAGTGACACAGAAAGCAGTTCAATGTCGGGGGTACAGAGTCGCTCTCTTACCAGGATCGATTTTCCCTGTGACTGTGTCAGATCGCGGTCCGCTCTGACCAGGGTGAAGCCGGCCGGCTCCACTTCTCTGTCCGGGACTCTGTCATCCAGCCAAGTCTCCCAGCTGTATTGGATTCCGCTGCCAGCAGCGTTTTCATTATTTAGTCCGTTCGTAGCGGGTATGTACACGATCAACAAGATCAGTCCAAAACCCACCCCTGGAAATCCATGGTTGGCAGAATGTTTGTAAACTAAGTGTACAAATTAAAAACATAAAATAACGCCACTAAGTGTACAAATTAAAAACATAAGATAACGCCACACTGCAGGTCGCAACAGAGACGCTGCTAGCCGCTATTTTCTTAGTTACGTTCATGGTTACGTCACGTATGACGAAAGCGCGTAAGTGCAAGCCCACAGACACCCATAGAGATTGTATTGAAAGCTTTGAAATTTGAAAAAAATAGATTTTACATGGGAGTCTATGACAGACTTCTGGGCGATTTTCAACATGACTGAAATCGCCCCAAAAACGGGCGGGGCCATTTGAAGCACGACTTTAGCCTGATTTGACATTTAGTGGCAGTCAGATCAGATTAGAACACTGATAACTACTGTTGCCGTGATATAATTGATTAGAAAAAAAATCCCTTCCTTTTCCCGTTTGGCAGTGCGTCGCCCATATCGCCCTATTGAACACACCGCCCCTGGATAGGAGGCACCAGTGAAATGCCCAGTCTGGTAGTTTTAGGGAAGGGGAGAATTGGAAGAGAGGCTATGGAGTGTGATGACAGGGTAGCAATGGAGGGGCATTACGGCAAGGTATGGGTACGGTAAATATATATTTTGAAACCAACTAAAGGACTGTTGGAAGCTTAGAACGTAGTAGGCTACACAATCTTAGCAACAATATATGGCCAATGATTGTCACAAAATAAGAACATTCAGTTTCAATTATCTGATTGAAGACAATATCAGGCCTATCAAGTCTCATCCTCCAACTACATACAGTATTTCCCTTTGTGGCCTCATTAGTGTGTTACTAATGGTTTTCTTTGAGACTGTGGTCCCAGCTCTCTTCAAGTCATTAACCAGGTCCTGCCGTGTAGTTCTGGGCTGATCCCTCACCTTCCTCATGATCATTGATGCCCCATGAGGTGAGATCTTGCATGGAGCCCCAGACCGAGGGTGATTGACCGTCATCTTGAACTTCTTCCATTTTCGAATAATTGCGCCAACAGTTGTTGCCTTCTCACCAAGCTGCTTGCCTATTGTCCTGTAGCCCATCCCAGCCTTGTGCAGGTCTACAATTGTATCCCTGATGTCCTTACACAGCTCTCTGGTCTTGGCCATTGTGGAGAGGTTGGAGTCTGTTTGATTGAGTGTGTGGACAGGTGTCTTTTTTACAGGTAACGAGTTCAAACAGGTGCAGTTAATACAGGTAATGAGTGGAGAACAGGATGGCTTCTTAAAGAAAAACTAACAGGTCTGTGAGAGCCGGAATTCTTGCTGGTTGGTAGGTGATCAAATACTTATGTCATGCAATAAAATGCAAATTAATTACTTAAAAATCATACAATGTGATTTTCTGTATTTTTGTTTTAGATTCCGTCTCTCACAGTTGAAGTGTACCTATGATACAAATTACAGACCTCTACATGCTTTGTAAGTAGGAAAACCTGCAAAATCGGCAGTGTATCAAATACTTGTTCTCCCCACTGTACATGTTATATCTTATTGTATAGCAATTTATCCCTATTATGTACATTCCTGATCATCTGCTTTTTTAAGGTAAATAATATATGAAAACAGATGTCATTGACACTGATTTGGTTCTTATTTCATTGATGCAAGTGCAAATGCAAATTCAAATAACATTTGCAACTGGTTTGCGGGACACAAAATACGACAAAAATTGTAAAGAGTTTATTGAGTTGCTGGCAATGCTATGCAATGACCCATTGTGGTGTATAAAGAGTGGTATTCATGAGTGTTTCTAACCAAGGTGAGACGCTGTCAGGGTCTGTATCGCTGTCTTTTGTTCCCAGACACACGTTGTTGGACATATTGACCAAAACATCTTGACATTGTTTATCTTTCAGAGAAATAAAATGGAGGTTCATTTACTTTCTTGTGTCCCCTTGCTCTTTATTCCTGCCATAATCGATGGCACTCGAATGGGAACCATTGATTGCCTAGCAGCCAGATTGTGTGTGAGACAGTGAGACACATCAGCCTGCACGTAAATGTTGCTCCGGAGAAATATGCACATTTCAGCAGGGAGACATACACACACACACACACACACACACACACACACACACACGGGAACATGCACGTGTGTAAACACGTACACACACACATAAACACACACATATGCACGCTTGCACACACACACACACAACCCAGAGATGCTTTCATGGGCAATCACAGCAGGGGTGTATTATGATTCATCAGCTGGAGACAATCTCAGATTAGTAATCTCAGATAGTGAGACAGTGACAGCAACCTGTATGTCATACTGTTGACAGCCATTGGAGTAAATCATCATGGGAGTGGAATATCAGCACACAGTATTATTTGCTGAAGTTTGCGTCATAAGTTTACATCAGACGCTAACAGTTATTTTTATGCGTCTGCAGCAGATATGGCTGCCACTTAATTGACATGAATTACATCCTGTATTGCAACAATCAGATAATTGACTGTTTGAACCAGTGAAGTCATAGGGCTCATGTAACCTTCCCATGAATGTGACCAAGACTAGAGTCTGGTGATTTCTGTCTACTTGTGGAGTTGCTATTCACTCAAGAAACATTGTCTCAGTTGTGTATGATTTTATACCACTAAAGCGACAAACTCATTGCAATGAGTGTACATACACATTACTCAAATTAAATTGGGTTCATACTTCTTATTGGAGTGAATTTAGGGTATGTTTTATCATTAGCTGCCGTGGAAGCACAAGAAAAAAAGCATAAAGCAGCAGAGACACCTATAGGCTCCAGTGGAGAAAGTGCTACTTCTGGTTAAAGAAGCAAATGTTGGAGCTCAGACAGAATTTCAGACTACATTGGTTGTAAGCACAAAATTAGCCTAATCCCAGAGTAAATGACTCATTACATTAGAGATGAGAGTAAAGAACTGCACTAGTCTGTGAAGAAGACTCACAAGTTAACAGTCTTGGAAGTTAAGTATGTTTATCCCTTCTCCCTCAGGGAACATTAGGTTTAATCTAGCTACACTAAATCATATTTAATGGCCATGGATTTTTGGCTCTTTTAATCATTTGTTGGTACCTTTTGGTTTCCCATTTCCTATTTTTGATTAATTGTTTTATTTTTGTTGTATATATACAGTGCCTTCGGAAAGTATTCAGACCCCTTGACTTTTTCCACATTTTGTTACGTTACAGCCTTATTCTAAAATGGATTAAATAGTATTTTTTCCTCATCAATCTACACACAATACCCCATAATGACAATGATACGCAGTGTCCTTTTAACTGTGATGGAAATGTACGAGAGAGGTAATGTGCATCTACTGTATTTTTGCTTCTTGTTGTTTATTTCCCTTTGTGGCCTCTGGCTGTCCTGCTTGTGTCCCACTTGGCCTTTAGCCCACTCAGCATATGGCCAGTAAGTAAATCCCTACTTCACACTAGGATCATCTTCACTAGAGCTCTGCTTAAGTAATGGCATTCTTATTATATTTTAAACAACATCACAAACCTTTACAAGTACCTTTTAAGTGGGTATGGCTAACTACTGACACCATCTCTATGGCCTTGTGGTTAGTGTCCGCTCTGATGTTGGAGGTTAGATTCCAAGTCATACCAGAGATTCGAAAAATTGGAAATTAGTTTTGTCTTAACATGGTTGAAAAGTAAATGCTTTAAACAGCGTTGCCACAAATGCAATAGTTATGAAGCAAATCTGCAGTCATATCTTTCACCAGGAAGAGCCTAAAGCTAGGCTAAATTGTGCAGTGACCGGCTACATCTAGTGGACATGAAGAGGTAGTGCTCAATAAAATATCTGAATGACTATCAGGAAAGTTGGAAGATGCACCCTGGTGGAAATGTACGATACATTAACTAACTTCCTTACTTCTATAAATATGTGTTGTAAGAGTAAAAAAGCCAATCAATGCACAGTAGTTGTTTCCCTCTCAAAAAATAGCCATTAGCTAGAGAGTTAGTATGTAAGTTACTGTGGATCGTTTCAAATGACAATTTGTGTCACCCAAAGAATAAAAAACGTAATCTTTGTGAATGACCATCAATACAACAATAACTATAGGAAGAAAATCAAACAACTGCATGTATTTAAGATGTATTTTAAGAAGTATTATACATCATGAAAGATACAGTAACAAAATGAATCCAAACACTGGGTATTACACTCTCATACACAGGTTGTTACATTATTGTAATGAGGTTTTCCTTATCGGTATGTATGACTACAAATCCACATGGAATCCATCTATTTACTTTACCATATGTATCAAGCATCTCAGAGTAGGAGTGCTGATGTGGATCAGGTCCTCACTGTCCATGTAATGTTATTCGTTATTATCTCAAATAGAAAACTGATCCTAGATCAACACTCCAACTCTGAGATGCTTGACACATACGCGCCCTGGATACATAATAAGAGCCTTTCAGATGTCCAGTGAGTTCAAGCCAAAGTCAGAGAGCAGCTCTTTGTATTCCTGATGGACAACAGTACTCTCATCCTCCCACCGCAGTCGAGCATCAGCCAGGTGGGAAGTCAAACTGTCCAAAGTGTCCTGGTAGGGGTCAATCAAGAATTGTTATATCAGAGAGAGGGTGTGTGTCCCAAATAACATTCTATTGCCTTCTTTTGACCAGAGCCAAGTAGTGCACCTTACAGGGAAAAGGGTGCCATTTGGGAAACACACTGGGAATCATTCTCATGAAGAGAAAACAAGACATACACTACCGGTCAAAACTTTTAGAACACCTACTCATTCAAGGGTTTTTCTTTATTTTTAAAAAATTTTACATTGTAGAATAATAGTGAAGACATCAAAACTATGAAATAACACATATGGAATCATGTAGTAACCAAAAAAATGTTCAACAAATCAAAATATATTTTATATTTGAGATTCTTCAAATAGCCAACCTTTGCCTTGATGACAGCTTTGCACACTCTTGGCATTCTCTCAACCATTTTCATGAGGTAGTCACCTGGAATGCATTTCAATGAACAGGTGTGCCTTCTTAAAAGTTAATTTGTGGAATGTATTTCCTTCTTAATGCATTTGAGCCAATCAGTTGTGTTTTGACAATGTAGGGGGGGGGTATACAGAAGATAGCCCTATTTGGTAAAATACCAAGTCCATTTTATGGCAAGAACAGCTCAAATAAGCAAAGAGAAACGACAGTCAATCATTACTTTAAGACATGAAGGTCAGTCAATATTTAACATTTCAAGAACTTTGAAAGTTTCTTCAAGTGCAGTCGCAAAAACCATCAAGCACTATGATGAAACTGGCTCTCATGAGGACCACCACAGGAATGGAAGACCCAGAGTTTCCTCTGCTGCAGAGGATAAGTTCATTAGAGTTACCAGCCTCAGAAATTGCAGCCCAAATAAATGCTTCACAGAGTTCAAGTAACAGACACATCTCAACATCAACTATTCAGAGAAGACTGTGTGAATCAGGCCTTCATGGTCGAATTGCTGCAAAGAAACCACTACTAAAGGACACCAATAATAAGAAGAGACTTGCTTGGGCCAAGAAACACACGCAATGGACATTAGACTGGTGGAAATGTGTCCTTTGTTCTGGAGTACAAATTGGAGATTTTTGGTTCCAACCGCCGTATCTTTGTGAGACGTGGTGTGGGTGAACGGATTATCTCCGCATGTGTAGTTCCCACCGTAAAGCATGGAGGAGGAGTTGTTATGGTGTGGGGGTGCTTTGCTGGTGACACTGTCTGTGATTTATTTAGAATTCAAGGCACACTTAACCAGCATGGCTACCACAGCATTCTGCAGCGATACGCCATCCCATCTTGTTTGGGCTTGGTGGGACTATCATTTGTTTTTCAATAGGACAATGACCCAACACACCTCCAGGCTGTGTACGGGCTATTTTACCAAAAAGGAGAGTGATGGAGTGCTGCATCAGATGACCTGGCCTCCACAATCCCCCGACCTCAAACAAATTTAGTTGGTTTGGGATGAGTTGGACCGCAGAGTGAAGGAAAAGCAGCCAACATATGTGGGAACTCAGCACATGTGGGAACTCCTTCAAGACTGTTGGAAAAGCATTCCAGGTAAAGCTGGTTGAGAGAATGCCAAGAGTGTGCAAAGCTGTCATCAAGGCAAAGGGTGGCTATTTGAAGAATCTCAAATATAAAATATATTTTGATTTGTTTAACACTTTTTTGGTTACTACATGATTCCATATGTGTTATTTCATAGTTTTGATGTCTTCACTATTATTCTACAATGTAGAAAATAGTAAAAAATAAAGAAAAACCCTTGAATGAGTAAGTGTTCTAAAACTTTTGACCGGTAGTGTACATATATTATTTTCTCTCAAACGTTTTCACATATATAGCATACATTGTTATCGAAGATATAATCAGTGGTAGCAAAAGTTATGCACAGCATCAATATCATTGCCTGACATTCATTTTCTTCAGGCAACTGACAAATGTGTTTGCATTCCTTTCATACTCGTTCCCTGTGATGTTACAACGTAAGCCCTCTTTGATAAGCTGAAATCAGTTCACTCACATGCAGAATCTTCTCATAGTCGGTCTCCATGTTGTCCAGTTTGTTTTGTAAGTCAGCTATTGTGGTATCCTTCTCCTGCTGCAACTGCTCATGTGCTCTCCTTTCTGTCCTCAACTCCTCCTGACACTGAGCTGAGCACAGACAGACACCCACACACATTACGCACAAACAGTCATCACTTACAATGTATCTGATTCTTACTAAAACAACACTTGTTGCAGCTTGAATTAACTGGATATACTGTAGGAAGCTTACATGTGTGCAATAGCTTACCAAGCTGTTCTCGCAGCAAAATGGCCTCATCCCCCAGCTTTTTCACTTTGACTGTCATGTCTGTTTGCATGGTCTTATACTGACGGGTGAGATCTGCAAGGTATGACAGTTTTACCTAAAGAGCACCCTAATAATAATAAATAATTACATTTTATTTTAAGTGCTTTTCAAGAGACCTAGGGTGTTTCTCAAAATGCATACTACCGTGCTCGCAAATTGGAGCACGGGAGGGTCGGAGTATGAGTCCAAATCAAAGTATGCGAAAACGGAGCACGGAGGGCACGTTTGTACATATCGATGCAAGTTTCAACAGAAAGTATGCAAAGAAATATGACGCAACCACATAAAAAATTAAGCAACATTTCTTGAAATCAATGGCGGACATTATTTGAGCTGAAGCGAGAGAAAATACTCTCCGACTTTGGAATGAAATGTTGCCTATTCACATCTCATATGTTGACTGAATACTACAATATTTTATCTTGATACTTTAATAAATACATGCTGTGTTAGTTTTGGCATGTTTACCTGCCTACGTACCGTAGATCGCAAGCCCATAACAAGTCAATAGGGCTAACTGGCTAGCTACAGTGGCTTGAGAAAGTGTTCATCCCCCCCTTGGCATTTGTCCTATTTTGTTGCCTTACAACCTGGAATTAAAATGGATTTTTGGGGGGGGTTGAATCATTTGATTTATACAGCATGCCTACCACTTTGAAGATGCAAAATATTTTTTATTGTGAAACAAACAAGAAATAAGACAAAAAAACAGAAAACTTGAGCATGCATAACTATTCACCCCCCCCAAAGTCAATACTTTGTAGAGCCACCTTTTGCAGCAATTACAGCTGCAAGTATCTTGGGGTATGTCTCTATAAGCTTGGCACATCTAGCCACTGGGATTTTTGCCCATTCTTCAAAGCAAAACTGCTCCAGCTCCTTCAAGTTGGATGGGTTCCGCTGGTGTACAGCAATCTTTAAGTCATCCACAGATTCTCAATTGGATTGAGGTCTGGGCTTTGACTAGGCCATTCCAAGACATTTAAATATTTCCCCTTAAACCACTAGAGTGTTGCTTTAGCAGTATGTTTAGGGTCATTGTCCTGCTGGAAGGTGAACCTCCGTCCCAGTCTCAAATCTCTGGAAGACTGAAACAGGTTTCCCTCAAGAATTTCCCTGTATTTAGCGCCATCCATTATTCCTTCAATTCTGACCAGTTTTGCAGTCCCTGCCGATGAAAAACATCCCCACAGCGTGGATGGGAGGTGTTGGGTTTGCGCCAGACATAGCGTTTTCCTTGATGGACAAAAAGCTCAGTTTTAGTCTCATCTGACCAGAGTACCTTCTTCCATATGTTTGGGGAGTCTCCCACATTACTTTTGGCAAACACCAAACGTGTTTGCTTATTTCTTTCTTTAAGCAATGGCTTTTTTCTGGCCACTCTTCCATAAAGCCTAGCTCTGTGGAGTGTACGGCTTAAAGTGGTCCTATGGACAGATACTCCAATCTCTGCTGTGGAGCTTTGCAGCTCCTTCAGGGTTATCTTTGGTCTCTTTGTTGCCTATCTGAATAATGCACTCCTTGCCTGGTCCGTGAGTTAAGGTTGGAAGCCCTCTCTTGGCAGGTTTGTTGTGGTGCTATATTCTTTCCATTTTTTAATAATGGATTTAATGGTGCTCCGTGGGATGTTCAAAGTTTCTGATAGTTGTTTATAACCCAACCCTGATCTGTACTTCTCTACAACTTTGTCCCTGACCTGTTTGGAGAGCTCCTTGGTCTTCATGGTGCCGCTTGCTTGGTGGTGCCCCTTGCTTAGTGGTGTTGCAGACTCTGGGGCCTTTCAGAACAGGTGTGTATATATACTGAGATCATGTGACAGATCATGTCACACTTAGATTGCACACAGGTGGACTTTATTTGACTAATTATGTGACTTCTGAAGGTAATTGGTTGCACCAGATCTTATTTAGGGGCTTCACAGAAAAGGGGATGAATACATATGCACGCACCACTTTTCCGTTATTTATTTTTTAGAATTTTTTGAAACAAGTAATTTTTTAAATTCCACTTCACCAATTTGGACTATTTTGTGTATGTCCATTACATGAAATGCAAATAAAAATCCATTTAAATTACAGGTTAGATTATTACTAGCTAGATTATTACGATTCACATATCTAGCTGATAATTAGGAAGTAAAACGTTTGCTTTGTGTACATCTTGGAAGAAGGTTCAGTGAATGGGGAGGTGAAGCGTGAGGTAATACAGTAAGGGGAGTGCGAGTGCTTCTCAAATGTATTGTTTTATGCATTCTCCATACTCTGGTCGGAGAATGCACTCGGAGCATGAGAGTGTGGAGCACGGTAGTATGCATATTGAAAAACACCCCTAACGTCCCTTTAACCTTAGTAACTTTGAGAATATGATATCAAAAGAAGACGAGAGGTTCATAATAAAGAATCTTCCTTTGCAGCTGTTTGAAGATCCCAAACAGTTCTTGTCGAATAGGATAGAAGGATAGAATCATAATAGAGCACTTATGGACAGCATGGGTATTGTAGGCCTTTGAAACATGCTTGTTTAAGGACTCCCTGGTGTGTGTGTGTGTGTGTGTGCGCACGTGTGCGTGCGTATCCGCGTAGGTGAATGTGTGTGTTTGAGATTGTTCCCTTCCACCAACCTGCACTGACGTCTCTGCGGTCCAGTCTCTCATGGTGGAGCTCCTGCTCCATGTCCCGCATACGAGATCTCAGGTCATGACTGACGGACTGGGCCTGCTGTGCCACATCCCCTCGCAGAGCTGTCGTGTCACACATGGAGAATGTATTTGATCAGTGTGTAGAATCATTTAGTAGTTATTGTTCAATCAATTCATAGTTGTTCATCCTGAAATCAGTAAATATCAGAAGCGCTGTGGGATCCCTATGTACAGATTTGAGTTAGTGTTTTAACCTCCCAATAGGTAGCCTAGTCAAAATATCTGTCTGTGCTCTTGCCTTCTCCACTGTCATTGTCAAGCCATCACAATTTCATAAGAAGTTGACAAGAGAGCAGAAACAGGCTGGCACCCAGGCTAGTTAATTTGTTCTAATCTCCAGATTATCATGAATTGATAAAATAATATATATATGTATTTTGAGTAGAGCTGATTTAACTGACTTATTTGAGGATTGGAGCAAAAACATACCAAGGTTTCCCTAGAATAGCCTACATTTTAGAGTAGCTGCTCTGCTTTTAATGGATGGATTTTAGGGGCTCTAGAGAAGTGGACGCAGTGTAGTGTTCTCACCAAGATGGTCCCTCAGAACTGTAACATCCAATGCACTTCGCCTGTACTTCTCCTCCAATTCATTTCCCCCTGCATGAACACAGTGAATTACACAATCCTCAGATATGCAGAGCCCAGTTAAAAGTGTGCTCTGTTTCTAACAGGCAAACTAAGGTTTATGAAATTACGAAAATTAAACATATTAAATCGAAAATGTAACAGTAAGCAGCCCTGAACGACGAAAAAACATACCCTCATTTGTTTTAATCTTTTTGGTCTTTGACTTATTGATATTAATTTTCCCTTTATTCTTCTTTGGGGGCATTATTCTGCTGCAAAATTCCTCTACCATCGATATGCCAAAGCCAACTTGGAAAAAGTCTACTAGGATATGACTGAAAAAAGATCCGGCCGGTTTACAGGCAATTACGCATTGCTTGGCGTCCCGTTGTTGCTGTGGTGACAATGAGACACACTCCGGAATCCTTATTCAGGAATGCTTTGGACGTTGAACGCTCCAAAAACGTTCACGGTGGAGTTTGTAAAATTAATAGCCTACCATATTTTCTATTCGGTTGATTTGTTTATAAGCTTCATTAACAAATATGTAATAGCAGAGAAGTATGTATTTGGTCAACTGAGAATTCAGTTCGTGTAGTGTACAGAGAAATGTAAGAGAACATTATTTTATAGGATTTATTTTATTAGAACTGTGTAGGGGCGTACATGTTGTATTTATTTACAAAACATTTTTTCAAAAGAAACATCTAATAGTCCAATCATGAGCTGGTTCTACTATTTTTTTGTGTTTTGTGGTGGAAAACTGAGCAGGTCAAGCATAACATGTCAACTCATAAATAGACGTGCATTCAATTGCCTGGTCAAGGCTTGGTTTCTTCATTAAGGGGGTGACTACAGCTGTTTTGAAGATCGATGGTACCTCTTCGGTCAGCAGGGACTTGTTGATCAGGGTAGTGACGCTGGCTGGACAAACATAAGCAGGCTAGATGAACAGGTTTTGAGTAGGGATGTAGGGATAGAGTCAAGGGAGCAAGTGGTGGCCTTCATTTTAGAGATGATTGACTGCACAGCGGAGGATACTACCATTATTACCACTAAGGTAGTCAGAATGGCTGGCTGGCCTCCCAAAATTGACATGCAGAAGAACAATTAGAATGATGGAGTGTAGTCTGACTTGGGGAACCCTAACTAAGAAGGCAGCAAAATGGAAGCAGTGGCGCTTTCTTGTGTATGCCTTATGTGCCTCAAGGCACAAAGAGGATTATGTAATTCAGGATGGCAGGACCACTGGCCTATTAGGGCAGACCACATCCCAAGGGGAGCAAGATTGGACTCAGTCACTATATGGTTCAGTAGTGATGGCCTGCTGCTTTTTTCATTATCGAACCATGTCCTATAACTTGGTATACCTTCTTCCACCAGTGAGCCAAACAGCTCAACTGAGCTACCAGTTGCAGAGAGCTCCTCCATCCCTCCTTGAGTCCCTAACAATGTAAAACCCTTTCATTGCCTAACAATTAACAAAATCTACAGTACATTTACAGATTCTACACAGAAATGATGATTGTGGAGCTCTTACTGGAGGCCCTTCCACTTGAGGAGGAGGTTGAGCTCCGGCTGGAGTTCTTGCTGGAGGCCCTTCCAACCAAGGATGAGGACCTCTAGCTGGAGGCCCTTCTATCCAAAGACGAGGTGGAGCTCCGGCTGTAGAGCTCCGGCTGGAGGCACTTCCACACAAGGACAAGGTGGAGCTCTGGCTGGAGGCCCATCCACCCAAGGATGAGGAGGACCTCCGGCTGTAACGCTCGGGCTAGAGGCCTTTCCACCCAAGGACGAGATGTATCCCTGGCTGGAGGCCCTTCCATTCAAGTAGAAGGTGTAGCTCCGTCTGTAGAGCTTGAGTTGGAGGCCCTTTGACCCAAAAACGAGATGGAGCTCCGGCTGGAGGCCCCTTCCACCTAAGGACAAGGTGGAGTTCTAGCTGGAGGCCCTTCCACCCAAGGAGGAAATGGGGCTTTGGCTGTAGAGATCGGACTGGAGGCCCTTCTACCCAAGGTGGAGCTCTGGCTGGATGCCTTTCCACCCAAGGACAAGGTGGAGCTCTGGCTGGATGCCTTTCCACCCAAGGACAAGGTGGAGCTCTGGCTGGATGCCTTTCCACCCAAGGACAAGGTGGAGCTCCACCTGGAGGACCTTTCACTTAAGGAAAGGTTCTGTAGAGCTCTGACTGGAGGCCCTTCTACCCAAGGACAAGATGTAGCTCCTGCTGGATGCCCTTCCACCCAAGGAGGACTTCGAACTTTGGCTGTAGAGCTCCAGCTGGAGGCCTTTCTGCCTGAGGAGGAGATATAATTCTGATTGGAGGCCCTTCTAGCCCACGGTGGGAAATCAATGGATCTGATTAATTTGATTCAATGCAATTTCACATATGCATATTCGGCATATACGTGAAATTGTAAAAGCAGCAATAAATTGCAATATAGACGCAACCCGTTTAATGTATAGCTATTTCAAAGGTTTCTCTGGAAACAGCTACAGTAAGATGATTGATATGCATTTATTCAACATTCCATATTTTGTATATAATTATACTGTTTCTGCGGTAACCTGTGGAAAATAAGGAATAAACTAATGCTCTTTAAAATGTTTCCTGGGGCCTCCCGAGTGGCGCAGCGGTCTAAGGCACTGCATCGCAGTGTTGCGGCACAGGAGAGCCCTTGAACTGAGTAACAGCTTAGATGCTCCCACGGCCCACATTTGGAGGACTTGTCATAAAGTAATCATTACCTGTGTTACGTAACACCTTGGCTATGTTCCCCAAAAAACTACTGTGGACAAGTGTTCAGTTCCCAAGTATTGGTTCACCAAGACCAGTCTGTATAAGAAGGGGGGACTGTGCCCAGATTAGACTAGGCTTACATTAGTTCTGAAGAGGTGCCATTTTAGAATGAGGGGTGCCGTAGCTCTGCTGGTGTTGCTGTTGTGTTTGTTTGGGGCATGGGCTCAGGGAGAGAGTGGATGGGGAGAGAGAGAGGGGATTGAAATTGAGCTCAGGAGCCCAAAGACTAAAGCTGTAGGTGACCCACGCACAGGCGATTGACCAGACTGCCACCAACTCTGACATCTAGGATGAGCTGAGAGCGCTGCGAGACATGGTGGTTGAACAGAGAGTGGAGCTGAGGTACATGAAAGAACAAGTTGATGAGCTGAGGAGAGAGAATGAAGGTAAAAGTGAATTTTAAATACACTCTCCTCCATATTTATTTGGACAGTGAAGCTAAAACTTTTAATTTGGCTCTATAGACCGGTTGGTTGTTTAGCAACAACACCGACACGTGTGCAACTATGGGGCAAGACAGACAGGGTTGGATTAGATTGTTGACAATGTGTAAACTATATTTAGTCTCCAATTTTTATTAAAAACAAATGTGCACTTGTCTCTCAAATACATTGTTACAGTTGTTGGGTACATAGCTAGTGAATTTTAGCCATATTAGCATAGACAGTCAAAACAAGACATGGTATCTGTCACACCCTGGCTCTGGGACTCATTATGTTGAGCCAGGGTGTGTTCATTCTATGTGTGTATTTCTATGTTGGTAATTCTGTTGTGTTTAATTCTATGTTTGCCTGAGTGACTCCCAATCAGAGGCAACGAGTGTCAGCTGTTGGCTGGTTGTCTCTGATTGGGAGCCATATTTAAACTGTATGTTTTTCCCTTTGGGTTTGTGGGTTTTTGTTCCGTGTTTGGTCATTGATACCGTGGACGTCACGAGTCGTGTTTTGTTTTGTATTTTGACGCTTTAACTAATTAAAGTCATGTTTGTTCATCACGCTGCGCATTGGTCTCTCCCTGACGATCGTGACAGTATCAAGAAAAAGATTAAATGACCTATCTACGATTCCCCACATGGAAGCTTCTTGTCATTGTTGCTAGCGATCTGACCATCCAGAATCACAACAACACACAGCCTTCTGCCCCATTGAAGCGTGAGCATTGTTTTCGTGATGTTGTCAGCTAACTCGTCTTTACGCCAGCATTTTGGATTTTGGATTTGAGATCCTACACTCGATCCCTCCGATGTCAAGAACTACAGACCAGTATCCCTTCTTTCTTTTCTCTCCAAAACTTGAGCGTGCCATCTCTAGCCAACTCTCTTGCTATCTCTCTCAGAATGACCTTCTTGATCCAAACCAGTCAGGTTTCAAGACTGGTCATTCAACTGAGACTGCTCTTCTCTGTGTCACGGAGGCTCTCCGCACTGCTAAAGCTAACTCTCTCTCCTCTGCTCTTATTCTTCTAGACCTATCTACTGCCTTTGATACTGTGAACCATCAGATCCTCCTCTCCACCCTCTCCGAGTTGGGCATCTCCGGTGCTGCTCACTCTTGGATTGCGTCCTACCTGACAGGTCGCTCCTACCAGGTGGCGTGGCGAGAATCTGTCTCCGCACCACGTGCTATCACCACTGGTGTCCCCCAGGGCTCAGTTCTAGGCCCTCTCCTATTCTCTCTATACACCAAGTCACTTGCCTCTGTCATATCCTCACATGGTCTCTCCTATCATTGCTACGCAGACGACACACAATTAATATTCTCCTTTCCCCCTTCTGATAACCAGGTGGCAAATCGCATCTCTGCATGTCTGGCGGACATATCAGTGTGGATGTCGGATCACCACCTCAAGCTGAACCTCGGCAAGACGGAGCTGCTCTTCCTCCCGGGGAAGATCTCCATGATCTCGCCATCACGGTTGACAACTCCATTGTGTCCTCCTCCCAGAGTGCAAGGAACCTTGGCGTGACCCTGGACAACACCCTGTCATTTTCCGCCAACATCAAAGCGGTGACCCGATCCTGCAGGTTCATGCTCTACAACATTCGCAGAGTATGACCCTACCTTACACAGAAAGTGGCACAGGTCCTAATCCAGGCACTTGTCATCTCCCGTCTGGATTACTGCAACTCGCTGTTGGCTGGGCTCCCTGCCTGTGCCATTAAACCCCTACAACTTATCCAGAACGCTGCAGCCCGTCTGGTGTTCAACCTTCCCAAGTTCTCTCATGTCACCCCGCTCCTCCGCACACTCCACTGGCTTCCAGTTGAAGCTCGCATTTACTACAAAACCATGGTGCTTGCCTACGGAGCTGTGAGGGGAACGACACCTCCTTACCTTCAGGCTCTGATCAGACCCTACACCCAAACGAGGGCACTACGTTCATCCACCTCTGGCCTGCTAGCCCCCCTACCTCTACGGAAGCACAGTTCCCGCTCAGCCCAGTCAAAGCTATTCGCTGCTCTGGCACCCCAATGGTGGAACAAGCTCCCCCACGACGCCAGGACAGCGGAATCACTGACCACCTTCCGGAGACACTTGAAACCCTACCTGTTTAAGGAATACCTGGAATAGTACAACAGTAATCATTCTACCCCCCCCCCCCCCCCCCCCCCCTCCCCCACCCCCCCATAAAAAAAATAAAAAAGGGGGTGGTTGTCCCACTGGCTGTCCTAAGTTGAATGCATCAATTTGTAAGTCGCTCTGGATAAGAACGTCTGCTAAATGACTTATATGTAAAAATTACCTTATCCTGTCGCATTTTTGAAAAAAGTTTGGCATCAACCGATTGACCTTTATGTAAACTGGCCATGCTCCCAGCAATCTTTGCGGTGCCAATGGGAAAAGATGAGTGTCAACCAATTGACACTTATGTCAATGCATTGCAGTTAATAGGAAAGGATGACTGTCACAACAAGAGACAGAAAAACTCAACAGAAAGAAAAAACAGAACAACTGTAACGAAGACGCAGGGAATCAGGACGCAGGTGCATCTGGTGAGTTTAATAATAACGAACATGGAGAGTTACCAAACAAGAGAACCGTCTGGACATGAAAACAGAACCAATACTGCCTGATGACTGAGGTTGGTGAAGGCTATATGAAGGGAGAGTAACCAGGGTGGTGATGAAGTCAAGGTGTGCATAACGTTGGGGAGCAGGTGTGCGCAATGATGGTTGCCAGGTGTGCGCAATGTGGGTTGCCAGTGTAACTGGTGTGAAATGGCTAGCTAGTTAGCGGTGCGCGCTAACTGGCTAGCTAGTTAGCAGTGCGGGTCCCTGGTTCGAGCCCAGGTAGGGGCGAGGAGAGGGATGGAAGCAACACTGTTACATTGATGCTGTTGACCCGAAACCTGGTTGCTGCGGAAAAGGAGGAGGTCAAAAGGGGGATGAATGTAACCGGTGTGAAATGGCTAGCTAGTTAGCGGTGCGCGCTAGTAGCATTTCAATCGGTGACGTCACTCGCTCTGTGACCTTGAAGTAGTTGTTTCCTTGCTCTGCAAGGGCAGTGGCTTTTGTGGAGCGACGGGTAACGGTGCTTCGAGGGTGTGCAGAGGGTCCTTGGTTCGAGCCCAGGTAGGGGCGAGGAGAGGGACGGAAGCAACACTGTTACACCAGGACCGGTGGTTAGTAGACCGGCAACGTTGAGCGCCGGAGGGAGGGAGCAGGAGTAGGCTTGACAACAACATTGCTCTTAGGGAATTGGCACCTTGCTTCATTTATATTTGACATACTGTACAGTATAAGGATTATGTTCTGCATTAAAAATAATGACTGTGGATCAGGGTGGGTTGCAGGTTGTATGTTGTGTTGCCCATCATCACATGAAAGATACGCTATAAATGGCTGCCATATCTTAACGAATGTATTAGATCTGCCAGAGATATCATGGTGAATCATTTCTATATGTAGTAAACTGGTGACTTCAGCTAACCAGGTTTTAAAAACAGGTACAGTCTCCCTATTCCAAAGGCTTAAAATGTTTATTTTTGCAATAACCATGCCATATTGTACAGTCCTCTGTTCCCAGTGGGTTAAAGTAGGTGCTGTGACCTGCCTAAAACAGCAGTGTCCGGGCTGGTATGAGGTTACAGCTGTATACTTCTGAGTAACACTTAAAAATATCCTGCCAGAATGTGTGCAGTTTGGGGCATGACCAGAAGAGGTGACCCAGAGTACCCTCGGCAGACTTGCACTTAGGGCATATCGGCGAGACCGAGGGGTAGAACGAGTGTAATTTGGTACAGGAATAGTGTAGTCTGTGAATCACTTTGTATTGAATAAGTTGGTGTCTGGAGTTTATCGAGCACAAGTGAATATCTTGAAGGCAATCAGCCCAACTGTCATCAGTAATCTCCATACCAAGGTATTCCTCCCAGGTCTCCTTCAAATGTTGTGTGGATACAGAGTAATATGATGTAAAGTCTGGAGATCAAACTCTTGGAGTCAGGGGCGAGGTTCATGAAAATATACAGTTCGCGGGCAGATGTACAGTGGGGAAAAAAAGTATTTAGTCAGCCACCAATTGTGCAAGTTCTCCCACTTAAAAAGATGAGAGAGGCCTGTAATTTTCATCATAGGTACACGTCAACTATGACAGACAAAATGAGGAAAAAAAATCCAGAAAATCACATTGTAGGATTTTTTTTTAATTTATTTGCAAATGATGGTGGAAAATAAGTATTTGGTCAATAACAAACGTTTCTCAATACTTTGTTATATACCCTTTGTTGGCAATGACACAGGTCAAACGTTTTCTGTAAGTCTTCACAAGGTTTTCACATACTGTTGCTGGTATTTTGGCCCATTCCTCCATGCAGATCTCCTCTACAGCAGTGATGTTTTGGGGCTGTCGCTGGGCAACACGGACTTTCAACTCCCTCCAAAGATTTTCTATGGGGTTGAGATCTGGAGACTGGCTAGGCCACTCCAGGACCTTGAAATGCTTCTTACGAAGCCACTCCTTCATTGCCCGGGCGGTGTGTTTGGGATCATTGTCATGCTGAAAGACCCAGCCATGTTTCATCTTCAATGCCCTTGCTGATGGAAGGAGGTTTTCACTCAAAATCTCACGATACATGGCCCCATTCATTCTTTCCTTTACACGGATCAGTCGTCCTGGTCCCTTTGCAGAAAAACAGCCCCAAAGCATGATGTTTCCACCCCCATGCTTCACAGTAGGTATGGTGTTCTTTGGATGCAACTCAGCATTATTTGTCCTCCAAACACGACGAGTTGAGTTTTTACCAAAAAGTTCTATTTTGGTTTCATCTGACCATATGACATTCTCCCAATCCTCTTCTGGATCATCCAAATGCACTCTAGCAAACTTCAGACAGGCCTGGACATGTACTGGCTTAAGCAGGGGGACACATCTGGCACTGCAGGATTTGAGTCCCTGGCGGCGTAGTGTGTTACTGATGGTAGGCTTTTTTTACTTTGGTCCCAGCTCTCTGCAGGTCATTCACTAGGCCCCCCCGTGTGGTTCTGGGATTTTTGCTCACCGTTCTTGTGATCATTTTGACCCCACGGGTGAGATCTTGCGTGGAGCCCCAGATCGAGGGAGATTATCAGTGGTCTTGTATGTCTTCCATTTCCTAATAATTGCTCCCACAGTTGATTTCTTCAAACCAAGCTGCTTACCTATTGCAGATTCAGTCTTCCCAGCCTGGTGCAGGTCTACAATTTTGTTTCTGGTGTCCTTTGACAGCTCTTTGGTCTTGGCCATAGTGCAGTTTGGAGTGTGACTGTTTGAGGTTGTGCACAGGTGTCTTTTATACTGATAACAAGTTCAAACAGGTGCCATTAATACAGGTAACGAGTGGAGGACAGAGGAGCCTCTTAAAGAAGAAGTTACAGGTCTGTGAGAGCCAGAAATCTTGCTTGTTTGTAGGTGACCAAATACTTATTTTCCACCATCATTTGCAAATAAATTCATAAAAAATCCTACAATGTGACTTTTCTGGAATTTTTTTTCGCAATTTGTCTGTCATAGTTGACGTGTACCTATGATGAAAATTACAGGCCTCTCTCATCTTTTTAAGTGGGAGAACTTGCACAATTGGTGGCTGACTAAATACTTTTTTTCCCCACTATAATTGCCTCAAAATGTGGTATATTTAAGCAAACTTAATTTCTTATTGGAAGATATCGGAAGAAGTTAGATGCGGGGAGATCGTACACTTCCCTCAACTGTGCGAATGTGGCAAAAGTATTATTGATGTAAAGGTCTGCAATAGTAGTAATGCCCTTTCTCTTCCAGAATAAAAAAGTATTGTAAATTAGTGAGGAGGGGGAAGCATAGTTATGGCAAATAGGACTACAGGCAGAGGTCTCCAGGAGACGGAATGTTTTCCTTATTTGATACCAATTTTTTATGCATTTTTTGCATAAAGTTATTGCCAGTAATATCTGTAGGGGATTTAGTTTATGAAAACAGAAGTGCTGTAAGTGAGGTGTTGTGTATATCTTGTTCAATAGCGAGCCATGAAGGGGTGGAGGGATCTACCATTCCAGGGTATGCATCCTGCCAATAAACAAGTGCTCTAGCATTTGCTGCCCAATAATAATGCTGAAAATTTGGCAAGCTCAGGCCCCCTAATTCTTTGGGCTTGATTTTATGTTTTTTAGAGATACGGTGTACTTTGTATCCCCACACAAAAGGCAAGATGATAGAATCCAAGGATTTGAAAAAAGCTTTAGTTAAAAATATAGGCAGATTCTGAAAGAGATAAAGGAATCTGGGGAGTGTAACCATTTTAATAGCGTTAACATGGCCTATCATAGATAGAGGCAACACTCTCCAGATTTCAATGTTGCGCTTCAACTTCTCTATCATGTCGAGATAGTTCAATTTATAAATCAATTTAGGGTCCTTGGGGATGACAACACCTAAATATTTAATTTTGTCTACTGTTTTTTAAAAAGGTATATGTTTAAGAAACTCTGGGTTCCCAGTTTATGGTGTACCCAGAGAGTTCTCCAAATGATTCGATGAGCTCCAACAGCGGTGGGAGTGACTCTTCGGGGCACGAGAGGAACAAAATGTCATCCACATTGAGCGGAATGCGGTGATCAACCTTGCCCAATGACAAGATGGCTTCTGATACTAATAGCTAGGGGTTCCATAGCAATGGCGAATAGCAACAGACTCAAGGGGCACCCCTGGTGGCAGGAACGTTGAAGTGAAAACGGAGGTGATTTATTGTAATTAGTGAGAACTGAAGCCATCGGGCACGCATATAGTATTTAAAGAGACAAAACTCTCGCCCAAACCAAACTCATTTATTACTGTCAGAATGTAGTTTATTACAGTCAGAATGTAGTTCCATTCCACTTTGTCAAATGTTTTTTGAGTGTCAAGAGCAAGAATGGCAACTTTAAAATCTTTGTCATGTTTGGGATACATGATATTCATCAGTCGTCTAACACTGGAAAATTAGAATCTGCCTGGGATAAAATCAGTTTGGTCATGATTAATTATAGTCAAAATGCATTTATTTAGTCTGTTTGCGAGTATTTTATTAAACACCTTAAGGTCGCATCCGAGGAGGGCAATAGGACGATATGAAGATGGATCTGTTTCAACTTTATCTTTCTTTAATATTAGGGATATATTGGCTGAGTAGGAAGACTCCGGGAGTCTGCGAGTTTCAATAGTGTTTAAACATCCTTAACATAAGAGGTTTAACCTTTTCTGAATATGCTTTGTAAAACTCTATACCAAAGCCGTCAGGGCCAGCCGCTTTACCGTTAGGGAAGGAAAGTACTGCAGAGACAGGAATGGGAATGGAGGAAATCAGACATTTTCGTGGAGGCCGTGTCTGATTCCCGCATCTCTGAGTTTCTTCCTTGCTCTTGTTACGTTCGTTGTGTAAAGGATCGGATGCGTACATAGTCGTTTATTTTAATAAACACCGACAAAATATCAAAATCCAACAGAACGTGAAGTTCAAGAGGCTAAACATCAAACAAGCCAAACAGAAACAAGATCCCACAACTAAGGTAGGCAACATGGCTGCCCAAGTATGATCCCCAATCAGAGACAACGACCGACAGCTGCCTCTGATTGGGAACCACACCCTGCCAACATAGAAATATATAATTAGATTTCACACCCTGACCAACCCAACTAGAGATCTCAATGTCAGGGCGTGACAGTACCCCCCCCCCCCCCCCCCCCCCAAAGGTACAGACTCCGGCCGCAAAAACCTGACTCATTAGGGGAGGGTCCGGGTGGGCATCAAGCCTCGGTGGCGGCTCCGGCTCCGGCTTCGGACGTGACGTAGGCAGTAAACTCCTTTCCCATCCTGCCTCCCCTTTGCACGCCCGGTCCGGTCTGGACCCCGGCACGATGCTCCCCCTCTCAGTCCTCCCACAATGCACCAAGCCCTGTCTGGACCCTGGTGTGGGAGCCCTCGACCCTGGAGAGGGGGGGGGGGCTGACGTCTGGTCCCGGCCCAGCAGTCCTCCCGCAATGCACCAAGTCCTGTCTGGACCCTGGTGTGGGAGACCCCGACCCTGGAGAGGGGTTGACGTCTGGCTCCGGCTCGGACCCCGGTGGAGCGGATGGCTCCGGCATGGGGGAAGAGTAGATGACCGGACCCGGACTGGGCACCGGTGAAGCGGACTGCCCCGGCTCTGGTAGGGAGCAGATAACCGGAGCTGGACTAGGCACCGGTGGAGCGGACTGCTCTGGCACTGGAGTGAAGCAGCTGACCGGAGCTGGACTAGGCACCGGTGGAGCGGACTGCTCTGGCACTGGAGTGGAGCAGCTGACCGGAGTTGGACATGGCACCGGTGGAGCGGACTGCTCTGGCACTGGAGTGGAGCAGCTGACCGGAGCTGGACTAGGCACCGGTGGAGCGGACTACTCTGGCACTGGCTCCTGCTCCCTCTTAACTAACAGCTCCTGTAAGGTGGTGGCCTCCTCTCTCAGAGTGCTGAGCTGCAGGTCTTTAGCTGCTTGGAGGGCCTCCATCTTCAGAGTGGCCCCCTCTATAGCTCTCTCCTCCTTCACAGTCAGCCCTTTCAGGGCCTCCTGCTGCGTCGCCAACCACCACGTGTGCCCCCCAATTTTTTTGGGGGGGGCTGCCTCTCGGGTTTCCTTCGTGATCGGGACCTTTTGAGTCGCCGTTTTTTCTCCCTCGCTGCGATCCATACCTGCCTGGATCTCTTCCCACGTCCATGATCCTTTTCCGTCTAATATCTCCTCCCATGTCCATGATGTCTGCTCCTCCTGTTCACGCTGCTTGGTCCGTTGGTGGTGGGATCTTCTGTCATGTTCGTTGTGTAAAGGATCGGACCAGGGTGCAGCATGGTATGCGTACATAGTCATTTATTTTAATAAACACAGACAAAATAGCAAAATCCAACAGAACGTGAAGTTCAAGAGGCTAAACATCAAACAAGCCAAACAGAAACAAGATCCCACAACTAAGGTAGGCAACATGGCTGCCCAAGTATGATCCCCAATCAGAGACAACGACCGACAGCTGCCTCTGATTGGGAACCACACCCGGCCAACATAGAAATATATAATTAGATTTCACACCCTGACCAACCCAACTAGAGATCTCAATGTCAGGGCGTGACAGCTCTATCGAAGGCCTGGCGCTGCTTGGTTACCTCAGCAGTGTAGTCTGGGTATATGTTAATCCGAGCCTCGTTGAAGGACAGGGGGAATTGCTGGCGGGACAGGCGCTGAATCTTTTCCTTCTCGGGGTCATGGTGGATTTTGGCAATCATGCGTAGCAGAGAGCATACTGATGCGGTGCGCTTGTTCCACTTTTAGGGCATGGTGGAAATTGTCAATCCCTTACAGTTTTGGTATGAGTTCTGCCACGAACTGTGCTGGTCTGCCCTTCTAAATATTTTCTTCCAAGCCTGTGATTTTGATATTTGAACGCCTTGAACGTCCCTCGAGGTCAATTAGCTTGAGTTTCATAGCTGTGTTTAAAATCAAATCAAATAAAAATGTATTTGCCACATGCGCCGAATACAGGCCTCTCTCATCTTTTTAAGTGGGAGAACTTGCACAATTGGTGGCTGACTAAATACTTTTTTTCCCCACTGTATGTACATGTGGGTAGAGTTAAAGTGACTATGCATAAATAGTAAACAGAGTAGCAGCAGCGTAAAAGAGGGGATTGGGTGGGGTGGGGGTTAGTGCAAATAGTCTGGGTAGCCATGATTAGCTGTTCAGGAGTCTTATGGCTTGGGGGTAGAAGAATCACATAGTCATCCGGAACAGCTGGTGCTCTCATGCATGCTTCAGTGTTGCTTTCCTCGAAGCGAGCATAGAAGTGGTTTAGCTCATCTGGTAGGCTTGTGTCACTGGGCAGTTCGCGGCTGTGCTTCCCTTTGTAGTCTGTAATAGTTTTCAAGCCCTGCCACATCCGACGAGCGTCAGAGCCGGTGTAGTACGATTCAATCTTAGTCCTGTATTGACTCTTTGCCTGTTTGATGGTTCGTCGGCGGGCAGAGCGGGATTTCTTATAAGCTTCCGGGTTAGAGTCCCACTCCTTGAAAGCTCTACCCTTTAGCTCAGTGCGGATGTTGCCTGTAATTCATGGCTTCTGGTTGGGGTATGTACGTACGGTCACTGTGGGGACGACGTCATCGATGCACTTATTGATGAAGCCAGTGACTGATGTGGTGTACTCCTCAATGCTATCTGAAGAATCCCGGAACATATTCCATTCTGTACTAGCAAAACAGTCCTGTAGCTTAGCATCTGCGTCATCTGACCACTTTTTTATTGACAGAGTCACTGGTGCTTCCTGCTTTAGTTTTTGCTTATAAGCAGGAATCACGAGGATAGAGTTATGGTCAGATTTGCCAAATGGAGGGCGAGGGAGAGCTTTGTATGCGTCTCTGTGTGTGGAGAAAAGGTGGTCTAGAGTTTTTTTTCCTCTGGTTGCACATTTAACATGCTGAAATGAGGTAGAACGGATTTAAGTTTGTTGTTAGTAGCTCTTCATACTGTCCCTCGAGGGTGGTGATGCATGTCTCGTGGTCACCTGCGTTTCCTTCCAGGTCAATAATGTGGGTTGTGTGGTCAGCCAGGGAGGTTTGCACTGATTGAAAGGATGAGTCCAGATGATTAAATCGAGCGTTCATGTCCTATTCCATTTTCTTGATAGCTGCTAATATGATAGTCGGTGAAGGATCCGCGTCAGGGTTAGCCATGCTAGCCATTACGGCCAGGCTAACGCAAGCATCGCCATCCTCGTCTTGTGCTGTGGTGGGTTCAGACACGACCGTAGGGACTACGCCGTCCCTGTTGTTTTTGGATTTATTAGTTTCCCCATAACGTTGCTCATTGTAGCAGTTTGGTCGGGCAAAAGTAGAATTTAAATCAAATTTATGCAGGGGTGAGGAGGAGGTAGTCAGAGAAGCGTCTACTCCATGTGGTGCTCACTTGCGCCCCCCGTCAATACAGTGCTTCAATGGGAAAAGATGAGTGTGAAAAAATTGATTCTTATGTCAACACATGGCAGTCAGTGGGAAAAGAAGAGAGTCACAAGATTGACACTTATGTCAACTGGCCATGCTCCCAGCAATCTTTGCGGTGCCAATGGGAAAAGATGAGCGTCAACCAATTGAAGCTTATGTCAATACATTCCAGTCAATGGAAAAATATGAAAAGATGAGACTTACAGACAGACAGACATACAGACAGACAGGCATAGGGACATCGCTCTCTCTCTCTGTTCCCTTATCCACCCTAGCCCCGTCTCTCTCTTCTCTCTCTACCTCCCTCACTCCACTTCTCTTGCCCCATGTCTCTTTCTCTCTACCTCCTCTTTATCCCCCCTCCTCTTCTCTCTCCCTCCCCCTTCTCCCCCTCTCTCTCCCTCCTTCTCTCCCTTTCTGCCTCCCCCTCTCTCTTTTCTCTCTCCCTTTCTCCCTCCTACCTCCCTATCGTTCTCTCTCCCCTTCCTCTTTTCTCTCCCCCCTCCCTCCTTCACCCTCTCCCTCTCCTCCCTCCCCCTCCTCTCATCTCTCTGTCCCTCTCCCTCCACTCTCTGTCTGTTGACTCTCTCTCCCACCTCCCTCCTTCATCCTCTTCCTTTCTCTCTCCCCTCTCTCCCCCTCCTCACTCTCCCCTTCTCTCTCTCCCTCCTCCACCCCATTCTCTTTGCCTTCTTCTTTCCATCACTCCCCCTCTTCTTCTTCCCCTCTCCCTCCTCTCTCTCCCTCCTCTTTCCCACCTCCACAGACAGGATATTGTTACATAATTATGCATAAGTCAAAAATGACATTCAATGCAAAAAAGTTGGTGATACAGCTGCAATGGGTAAATTGGTGAAAGACAGACAGACACAAAGACAGACAGACAGACACACAGGCAGACAGACAGGCAGACACACAGACAGATAGACAAGCAGATGCAGACAGACAAAATGACAGACAGACACAGGCAATTTCAAATTTCAAGTCGATCTAAATAAATGTGACCAATATCCTCTTCAGAATTAATTATTGTTTTCATCTGGAGCGTCTGTTGAATGATCCCATTCCTGAATTTGTTTTCTAACCTCAACCGTTCTACTGATGTCACTCAAAAGCACATTAACTCTAGGTCAGGCTTCAAGTGAGGCCTACCTTTCTGCAATGTAGTGGGGGGTGGGGTGAATTAATGAATGCATGTTTTGTTTGCTTAATTCCAGCCCAAGCAGCAGTACTGTCAGCCATTGGGGCCAAAGTGGCAGCCAGTGAGAATGAAGTGGAAGAGCTGAAGAAAGAGAATGCAGGTAAGTATTTGGATATGAATTCATTTGAGAGTTCGTTTTGTTCAGTGATATGTTTTGTTTGCATAGTTCCAGCCCAAGCAGCAGAACTGTCAGGGGGCCATACCCACTGGGCACAGACTTCAGTTCAATGTCTAGCTTTGATTTACATTTGGTTGAGTTGGCAACTAATGTGAATTCAACGTGAAATAAAGAAAACATTTCACCATGTCATTGGATTTAGGTTAAAAGTTGCGTGAAAAAAAGACAATGCCCTTACGATGACTTTTTACAAATCCAATTAGTTTTCCATGTTGATTCAACGTCATCACATTGATTTTTTTGGGGTTGAAATGACATGGAAACAACATTGATTCAACCATTTTTTGCCCAGTGGGTAGTCACAGAAAGAGGTAGAGGAGCTGAAGAAAAAGAATGCAGCGAAATGTGTAGATATTAATTTAATTATTTAATTTGATTTAATTTATCCCTAAAAACAATTGTTTATGATTTGGTTGTCTGTATCAGATCAAGAGCTCCAAAAATGTTCTCTCCGTAATTGCCGCCATGGGGGCCAAGTGACAGCTAGCTAGAAAGAGGTGGAGGAGCTGAAGAAAGAGAATGCAGGTAAGTGGCTTTTATACTGTGACACCTTGGTGACAGTGTTGATTGCCAACTCATTCTACCAGCAACAGAAACATTTTCACAAACTGTGCATCTATCATTTCCAGAAGTTGTTGGTGACAACTATCTATTTATCTTCGCAACAAAGCCTCCTTCACTCATGCTGCCGAACATGCCCTCGTTAAACTGACTATCCTACCGATCCTTGACTTCGGCGATGTCATTTACAAAATAGCCTCCAACACTCTACTCAGCAAATTGGATGTAGTCTATCACAGTGCCATCCATTTTGTCACCAAAGCCCCATATTCTACCCACCATTGTGACCTGTACGCTCTTGTTGGCTGGCCCTCACTACATATTCGTCGCCAAACCCACTGGCTCCAGGTCATCTATAAATCACTGCTAGGCAAATCCCCGTCTTATCTTAGCTCATTGGTCACCATAGCAACACCCACCCGTAGTCTGCGCTCCAGCAGGTATATCTCACTGGTCATCCCCAAAGCCAACACCTCCTTTGGCCGCCATTCCTTCCAGTTCTCTGCTGCCAATGACTGAAACGAACTGCAAAAATCTCTGAAGCTGGAGACGCTTATCTCCCTCACTAACTTTAAGCGTCAGTTGTCAGAGCAGCTTACCGATCACTGCACCTGTACACAGCCATTCTGAAATTAGCCCACCCAACTACCTCATCCAAATATTGTTATTTATTTTGCTAATTTGCACCCCAGTATCTCTATTTGCACATCATCTTTTGCACATCTATCATTCCAGTGATAATACGAAATGGTAACTATTTTGCACTATGGCCTATTTATTGCCTTACCTTCATAATTTACTACATTCGCACACACTGTATATATATTTTCTGTTGTATTTTTGACTTTATGTTTTGTTTTACCCCATATGTAACTCGGTGTTGTTGTTTTTATCGCACTGCTTTGCTTTATCTTGGCCAGGTCGCAGTTGTAAATGAGAACTTGTTCTCAACTGGCTTACCTGGTTAAAAAAGGTGAAATACAAAAATATAAAAAAATCTCCTCAGCTAATTATCTAATGATACTGTATGTTACACGTGTTGTTTCCAGTCTTCTTATAAAAGTCTTATAGAAGTCGGAACATTTTATGAATGTATCTTTCAAAGTGTATCATATCAATGCCTTAGGCTCTTTAGGTCAACAATATGAATGTTGTGTTGTTGGGAGCGCTGGTTGGAATCTCAGGTACACCATGACAGACATAGACCACATTACAGTAACACTGAAGTACAGTCGTGGTCAAAAGTTTTGAGAATGACACAAGTAATGGTCTTCAGAAAGTTTGCTGCTTCAGTGTTTTTAGATATTTTTGTCAGATGTTACTATGGTATACTGAAGTATAATTACAAGCATTCCATAAGTGTCAAAGGCTTTTAAGTTTATGCAAAGAGTCAATATTTGCAGTGTTGACCCTTCTTTTTCAAGACCTCTGCAATCCGCCCTGGCATGCTGTCAATTAACTTCTGGGCCACATCCTGACTGATGGCAGCCCATTCTTGCATAATCAATGCTTGGAGTTTGTCAGAATTTGTGGGGTTTTGTTTGTCCACCCGCCTCTTGAGGATTGACCACAAGTTTTCAATGGGATTAAGGTCTGGGGAGTTTCCTGGCCATAGACCCAAAATGTTGACGTTTTGTTCCCCAAGCCACTTAGTTAACACTTTTGCCTTATGGCAAAGTGCTCCATCATGCTGGAAAAGGCATTGTTCGTCACCAAACTGTTCTTGGATGGTTGGGAGAAGTTGCTCTCGGAGGATGTGTTGGTACCATTCTTTATTCATGGCTGTGTTCTTAGGCAAAATTGTGAGTGAGCCCACTCCCTTGGCTGAGAAGCAACCCCACACATGAATGGTCTCAGGATGCTTTACTGTTGGCATGACACAGGACTGATGGTAGCGCTCACCTTGACTTCTCCGGACAAGCTTTTGTCCGGATGCCCCAAACATTCGGAAAGGGGATTCATCAGAGAAAAGGACTTTACCACAGTCCTCAGCAGTCCAATTCCTGTACCTTTTGCAGAATATCAGTCTGTCCCTGATGTTTTTCCTGGAGAGAAGTGGCTTCCTCGCTGCCCTTCTTGACACCAGGCCATGCTCCAAAAGTCTTTGCCTCACTGTGTGTGCAGATGCACTCACACCTGCCTGCTGCCATTCCTGAGCAAGCTCTGCACTGGTGGTGCCCCGATTCTGCAGCTGAATCAACTTTAGGAGACGGTCCTGGCGCTTGCTGGAATTTCTTGGGCGCCATGAAGCCTTCTTCACAACAATTGACCCTCTCTCCTTGAAGTTCTAGACGATCCGATAAATGGTTGATTTAGGTGCAATCTTACTAGCAGCAATATCCTTGCCTGTGAAGCTCTTTTTGTGCAAAGCAATGATGACGGCACGTGTTTCCTTGCAGGTAACCATGGTTAACAGAGGAAGAACAATGATTTCAAGCACCACCCTTTTAAAGCTTCCAGTCTGTTATTCTAACTCAATCAGCATGACAGAGTGATCTCCAGCCTTGTCCTCGTCAACACTCTCACCTGTGTTAACGAGAGAATCACTGACATGGTGTCAGCTGGTCCTTTTGTGGCAGGGCTGAAATGCAGTGGAAATGTTTATTTGGGATTAAGTTCATTTTCATGGCAAAGGGGGACTTTGCAATTAGTTGCAATTCATCTGATCACTCTTCATGACATTCTGGAGTATATGCAAATTGCCATCATAAAAACTGAGGCAGCAGACTTTGTGAAAATTAATATTTGTGTCATTCTCAAAACTTTTGACCACGACTGTACAGTGTAGTTAAAAAACTGTGCAGTTCACAGACAGACCAAAGGTGGCATTCTCTCCCAATCTGAGGAATTCATTTGAGAAGGTAGGACCCTTCACTGATGATACCACTATGGTCTTCACCAAAGTCATCACAAACATCAACAATGCGTACAGCCCAGTTACAGGTACTATTTACACACCTTTCTACATGTATGTACACATCATTTCCAAAGAGACCAGCTACAAGCACTGAGTCCAATGTCACTAACAGGCTGTCTATGGGAGAACACCAGTGACATTGTTGATCACTCCATGCAATTCCTCTGATGCAGATACCTTCACAGCACCAGTAAGAGGAGTCTACTACTTCAGATTCACTGGCTTGGACAACCGCAAATCTCTGTACGTGGGCGCATGGTTGATGCGTAATCGCTGGCCCATAATGTTATTGCAACAGAGCAATAGTCATGGAGGGCAGGATTATTTATCCAGTGGAGCAATTCTAAAGATGGAGCAGGGGAACTCGGTCTACATGACGCTCCCAAAAGGCTACAGGCTCATTGATAATGGCTTTCACAACAGCTTCAGTGGATTCCTGCTCTTCCCTGTGTGAGGGGAATGCAACTAAAGATGTAATGAGCCAAGATGTTGGCATGAGTTACTCTGCCAGATATACAATATTTTAAAAAACATGAATGACAGACCAGCAGTAACCAGCAGTAATTTAACTTAGGTCGCGTTCCACTGCTTAGACGTTGCCAGATCTTACAATGCCTTGATAGGTATTTTACATATCAGCTAACCACATCATATGTTAAAAACAATCTGTCAGTTGATGACACAGTCGATTACGTGGCACGCAACCATTGGTTGATGCATGCAACGTCTGAGCAGGGGAATGTAACCCATGTGTTATATGCCGCGTTCAAAACAACTGGGAACTTGGAAATCTCTGACTTCTAACTTCTTTCTAGAGCTCCGACTTTCCGACCTGAAGATCACTGACGTCATGATTTGACCGCGATTTTTCAGAGTTCCCAGTTGTCTTGAAATCACCAATAGCAATCTGTCAGTCGATGACACAGTCGACGATGTCGCACGCAACCATTGGATGCATGCAACGTCTAAGCAGTGGAATGCGACCAAACTGAAGAGCTTGAGGCAGGAGGCCACAGGTGCCAGCAATCAGCTAATGAGCAGGCTTGCAAACAGCCGTTTGACAATGAAAGGGACATTTCACTCATTCTTCATTCAAACAAACAGGTAAAGGTTGTGTTGATGGAAAAATATCCATTAAAATAATTGTCCAGTGAAAATATCCCTTTTAAAAGTTAATATTCTGTTAAAGGTCCAATGCAGCCGTTTCTATCTCAATATCAAGTAATTTCTGGGTAACAATTAAGTACCTTCATGTGATTGTTTTTAATTAAAATGCTAAAAAATAAGCAAAAATAACTTCTTAGCAAAGAGCGATTTCTCAAGCAAGATTTTTGCTAGGACTGTCTGGGAGTGGTCTGAGTGGGGAGAGGAAACCTGAAAACTAGCTGTTATTGGCAGAGAGGTTTGGAACTCTGTTTCTTATTGTTCTATTAACTAATTTACCGCCTGGTGATGTCACCGGGCAGGCCAAAACTCCTTCCCACCAATAGGCTGATATTTCAGTCGGTCTTGTCAAACAGCTCTTACACTAAATGTCCATTATCATTTTCACAATTTCTCAGTATTATTCCAACCTCAGTGTGGAAATATACACTGAGTGTACAAAACATTAGGAACACTTTCCTACTATTGAGTTGCATCCCCTTTTGTCCTCAGAACAGCTGGCCCATGTTGACTCCAATGCTTCCCACAGTCGTGTCAAGTTGGCAGGATGTCCTTTAGGTGGTGGACCATTCTTGATGCACACGGGAAACTGTTGAGCATGAAAAACCCAGCAGCGTTGCACACTCAAACCGGTGCGCCTGGCACCTACTACCATACCCTGTTCAAAGGCACTTAAATATTTTGTCTTGCCCATTCACCCTCTGAATGGCACACATACACAATCCATGTCTCAAGGCTTAAAAATCCTTCATTAACCCATCTCCTCCTCTTCATCTACATTGATTGAAGTGGATTTAACAAGTAACACTAATAGCTTTCACCTGGATTGATTGGTCAGTCTATGTCATGGAAAGAGCAGGTGTTCCTAATGTTTGTACACTCAGTGTGTATAAAACACAGAAAAATCATGTTTTTGACTGCACTGGGCCTTTAACTCATACGTAAATAATGTTGTTAATGTGTTCTATACTCATATTTGTTGCCAAAGCATAAATTGTAGCGAAAAACACTTAAAAAACCCACCTCAAACTTCTATCTCAAGCAGACCATTTAAAAAATGCTTGCTATTTGCTCATAGAACATGTCATCATGTTGTCTCATTGGCTGAGCTGGCCAATCAGCGGTCCACTCGCATTCATATTTTGAATGACCAGTATACGCCCACACCATTCTGTGGTTGGGGTACGCACGCCCACACCATTCAAACACAGAAAAGCTGCTTTTTAACATATTTAATTACAATTTGTTAGAAGGAAAACTATTTTACTCATATTGTAATTAATTATAGGTCATATTTCATAGAAATCTGGAAACACTGGACAGTAACTTTAACTGAAATGTTACAATGATAAATTGACAGTTTGAGGAATCTCTTTTACACAAAAACACAATTAATACATTATACACAAATGACAGTGAAGGCTTCCATACTGTACCTATACAATCTTCCGTACTGTACCTATACAATATTCCATGCAGCTGTACCTATACAATATTATTTCTTAGTACATCATAAGAAATTTGATGAAAACATTGTAATTATGTTTTTGTGCTGTTTTGTCAACTTTTAATCGTGATAAGAATTATCCGGATTCTGTAATCCACTATTTTGCAATCCAGGATCCAATCTGACCAATTTTGAGCCAGTTTTTCAAAAAAGCATAGGATAGGATCATTCTGATCCAGATACCACAATATCAAGTATCTGGATTTTCAGTTCTTTGAATAGGCCTACACCTTGCCATCTACTGGACAGGTTATGTTAATACTTCGACACTGTCATAGTGAAATAGAGATGCGAAACTATACTGAACAAAAATATAAACACAACATGTAAAGTGTTAGTCCCATGTTTCATGAGCTGAAATAAAAGATCCCAGAAATGTTCCATATGCACGAAATGATTATCTAGCTCAAATTTTGGGCGCAAATTTGTTTACATCCCTGTTCGTGAGCATTTCTCCTTTGCCAAAATAATCCATCCACCTGACAGGTGTGGCATATCAAGAAGCTGATTAAACAGCATGATCATTGCACAGGTGCACCTTGTGCTGGGGACAATAAAAGGCCACTCAAAAATGTGCAGTTTTGTCACAGAACACAATGCCACAGATGTCTCAAGTTTTGAGGGAGGCATGCTGACTGCAGGAATGTCCTCCAGAGCTGTTGCCAGAGAATTTAATGTTAATTTCTCTACCATCAGCCACCCCCAACGTCGTTTTTGAGAATTTGACAGTACGTCAAACCGGCCTCACAACCGCAGACCACTGTCACGATCGTCAAAAGGAGCGGACCAAGGCGCAGCGTGATATGAGTACATACTTTATTATAATTCACCACACGAACAAAAAACAACAAAACGATATGTGAAGTCCTCGGTAACATACACAAACCTACACGGAACAAGATCCCACAAAAGACAAGTGCACAATAGGCTGCCTAAGTATGGTTCCCAATCAGAAACAACAAGCAACAGCTGATTAATGTTGCCTCTGATTGAGAACCACCCCGGCCAACATAGAAACACATAAACTAGATCGTGAACATAGAACACAAAACATAGACACTACACACCCTGGCTCAACATAAAAGAGTCCCTAGAGCCAGGGCGTGACAGTACCCCCCCCCCCCCAACATAAACCCAACAGGGGAGGGGCCGGGTGGGCATTCCTCCTCGGAGGCGGATCCGGCTCCGGGCGTGACCACCACCCTCTAACAACCCCCCCGTAGCGCCCCTGGTCTGGTCTGGCCCCGCTGGCTGGAGCTGGACTGGACATCGGTGGAGCGGATTGCTTAGGCTCCGGTGTGGAGCAGCTGACCGGTACCTGACCAGGCACCGGTGAAACGGGCACGGGCTGTGCCGGACTGACGACGCGCACCACAGGCTTGGTGCGGGCAGCAGGAATGGGCCGGACCGGGCTGACGATGCGCAGCACAGGCTTGGTGCGAGGGGCAGGAACAGGCCAGACCGGGCTGACAATGCGCACCCCTGGCTTGGTGCGGGGAGCAGGAATGGGCCGGACCGGGCTGACGATGCGCACCACAGGCTTGGTGCGGGGAGCAGGAATGGACCGGACCGGGCTGACGAAGCGCACCACTGGCTTGGTGCGGGGAGCAGGAACGGGCCGGGCCGGGCTGGCGACGCGCACCACAGGCTTGGTGCGGGGAGCAGGAACAGGCCGGGCCGGGCTGGCGACGCACACCAATGGCTTGGTGCGGGGAGCAGGGACGGGCCGGACCGGGCTGACGAAGCGCACCATTGGCTTGGTGCGGGGAGCGGGAACAGGCCGGGCCGGGCTGGCGACGCGCACCATTGGCTTGGTGCGAGGGGCAGGAACAGGCCGGGCCGGGCTGGCGACGCGCACCATTGGCTTGGTGCGAGGGGCAGGAACAGGCCGGGCCGGGCTGGCGACGCGCACCATTGGCTTGGTGCGAGGGGCAGGAACAGGCCGGGCTGGCGACGCGCACCATTGGCTTGGTGCGAGGGGCAGGAACAGGCCGGGCCGGGCTGACGACGCGCACCATTGGCTTGGTGCGAGGGGCAGGAACAGGCCGGGCCGGGCTGGCGACGCGCACCACAGGCTTGGTGCGAGGGGCAGGAACAGGCCGGACCGGGCTGGCGACGCGCACCACAGGCTTGGTGCGGGGAGCAGGAACAGGCCGGACCGGGCTATGGAGACGGACTGGAGGTCTGGAGCGAAGAGCTGACACAACCCGTCCTGGCTGAATGCCTATTTTTACACACTCTGTGTGAGGCATCAGCACAGGACGTACAGGGCTGTGTACTCGTACTGGCACTACAGCACGTGACACTGGCACAGGATATCCGGGACCGAGGAGGGGCACTGGAGGCCACGAGCGTTGAGCCGGCACACTCCGTCCTGGCTGCTTGCCCACCTTAGCACGACACGTGCGTGGTGCTCGCACAGGACGTACCGGACTGTGCCGGACCACTCGTGGCACAGTACGCAGCTCTGCATACCTCGGAACCTGCCCAGTCTCACGCTGCCTAGCCTGAGTACGGGGAGTTGGCTCTGCTCTACCTCTAGGCTCCGCCAACCTCCCTTCCAGCCCCCCAAACCCGGTGGCCTCCTCTCCTAATCCCCAAACTCGCCCCGTAGCTGCCTCCAGCAGCCCCGTCGTCCATGCCGTGTGCCCCCCCCCAAAAATGTATTGGGGTTGCCTCTTGCGTGTCCGACGTCGGCGCCGCTGCTCATCTCTATGGCGCGCCTCCACCGTCTCCTCCCACGGACGGCGATCCATTCCGGCCTGGATTTCCTCCCAAGTCCA